CACGGGCAGAGGTGCAGTATGTGAGCAGCGGTTGCTCTCCCCACTATGCCCAGTCCCAGCTGGATGATTCCCATGCAATGCTCTGTTCTCTGCACTCAAAGCACCAGCCACAGCCCTGAGCCTATGTTATGAATATGATCATCCTGCATTTTTGAGGGCATATGCCCCTTAGGGATGGTCTCAGCTGCAGTAATAGCTTTCCTGCAAATGTATGAGAGATGGGGTGCTCTAGTTACTTTCAGGAATGTGCCTCTACCAGGGATTAAGGAAAATAAATGTTATCTGTTTTTATATCTGTTTTCATGTTTGCATATGCATGCCTGCCTCTAGCCCTGTCCAATGCTTAGACCTGCCAACTGCTTCTAGCTATTAAAGAGCGTCTCAGTTTTACAGGGTCACTCTTCACTTTCCAAGAGCCTTTTCTTCAGCGGATGCCTACATCTGTCTGTTCACATTCCCTCCCTAAACTCACAAATACCATATATAGAGTTATTTCCTTGCAGAGGCGCTTCAGAGACCATCCTTGCATTGTAAAGAAGGACTGCAAAAAAAAAATCACATTTAAGGAAAAATATAATGTATTATAAACTCCTGCAAGACTTCTTTGGATGTGCTAGATAGCTAAGGGTGCCCAATACCTTTCTGAGACTCTTAAGCAAACAGTCCTCTTAGACCTTTCATTCATATTTTCTTTGAGTTGGCTCTTCTCAGTCAAAATAGCGTGGCCTCAGCAAGCATTGCTTTTCCAAGTCATTTCTACTTCGTTTCTAAGCTCCTGCCTCACTGTCTGGGCCAAATGTTTCACTGCCTCTCACAGATGCTGCCATTGGCAGCAGCAGAATGGTGCGGCTTGCAGAATTTGGCCTCTGATTTTTAGTGAGCCCAATGGTGTTTATTTTTGCTGAACTATGTTCCTCTTCTTCCTTCACCCCAAACCTGCAGCTGTACCATTTCCTGAGAAAGCTCCTGTAAGTCCTGAGGGCAGACAGTGATTCTGGCGTTCGGGGGGCCAGGGAGCTACCAGGTCTCACCTCTGCGCAGCGACAGAGACCATGGCTTCCTCATCCATGCATTTTGGCAAGCTGCCAGGGAAGCATGGGGGCCCATGGCTTCCCGTAAGGGGTCTTCCTCTTCAGTTTTGTCAGCAGCAAATACTGAACGGACAGTGCTACCTGCAACATATTTCTCCTTACAATCAAGAGAAAAGGTAGGCTCAAAGGAGGGGGCAGCATTCAGTAGAATAAGCTCTGTCCAACTTTCCTTGGAGAACAAGCTTGCAACTATCCTGTGCTGTAAGTCCTTCCACGTGCACAACTGTTCTTGGTTAACTGGGTCCCTGACAGAGAATTTGGCCCAGAAAGTGTACTGTACTGGAAAAAATCACAGGCAGCTCTTAAATATAGCCA